AACCAGGGGAGAAAGAGATAAGCGTCGGGCAATAGGAAATAAAAGATGTAACACTGTTTTCTGTGTGTTCTCCTGCTTGCAGGAGGCCCGCCATTGCAATTGCGAATGAAATCTGCTTTATCAGAGATACCGTCCTGGAAAATTATTTGGATATTTCCAACAATTTAGGGACTCGTCCGGGATCATTATCGCCTCTTGGGGGTCTCCCCAGGTGCCCTGGACAGGATAGGTGCACCCCGCTGATTTTAGCGGTCCTGTGTGGGTGGTGAGGTGACTCCTTGGGACGGCCGATAAGAAACCGAGACTGTTCCATAAAGGACGGGCTCTGTGAAAGCCAAGGGGCAGGTAGGCACGGGTGTTGGCCTTTGCAATCTGGTAACTTCGTGCACAGACCAAGGTAAGGGAATTTAATTCTTGCCTTGGGGGTCGGTTGAGACTCTTGAGTGTGTGTGACTGAGACGCACTTTAGTGCGAAGCGAGTGCGGAGTCCCGATTTTTGGTTCCCTTGTCCCGCGAGGGGCACGGCCAGAGACGGACAAAGCGGCTGTGGTGGTGATGAAAGGAAGAGTCTCGGGAGGGAGCTGTTGGTGTACGGTACCCTGCACGCTTGACTAAGTGCCAGCAGTACACCCCTATTAATCCAAGAGATCGGAGCATAGTATTCCAGAGGGATTGGGCCCAAAAATCCAAGAATTGGGGTGTGGTAATCTGCAAGCCCGGTAGCTCACGATACCATTCCAGAGGGATGGGTAATAGGAGCTCCCGAGAGCAGGGGAAAATGGTCCCTGAAATCGTGCCTAGAGATAGCCCCTTGGGAAAAATGCTTCAGAACTGGAAAACAAATCCCAAAACTAGGGACAAAGATAGGAAAGAGATGTTTAAATACTGTGCACAGATATGGCCTAGAGAGCCATTACAGGGAAAATCAGTATTTTGGCCAAAATATGGATCTGATGAAGATTGGATTTGTCAGATTTTGAATTCATATGTAAAGAATAAAATTCCCTTTTCAGAGGAAGAAGCAGAATATGCTGCTTGTTGGACACAAGAGGTCAGTGTACAGCTAGCAAAGAAAGGTTTGGATCAGGAAGAAGAGGAATCAGGAAAGAGAGCTAATCAATGGGATCCCCTACAGAACCTACCCCCCCCATATAACCCTAGTGTAGTACAAGAGGCAACAATCGCTCCCCCAGAAGAACAAGAGAAAACCCATAGAGTCATTTCACATGAAAGAGGGCATGCTGGGCTCAGAAGAGAGTTAGAACAATGTAAGAGGGATATAAAAAACTTTCCTTTCCCTGATACTGACCACATTAACACCTCCATGTACACTCAACGGGAGATCCCACTGGGACAGGGGCAAATAGGTTATGTAAACTCCCCACTCACTAGCAGTGAGGTCAGAAATTTTAAGAAGGAAATGAAATCTTTAATTGAGGATCCTATAGCAGTAGCAGAACAATTAGATCAATTTCTAGGTCCTAATCTATACTCATGGATGGAATTAATGTCCATCATGGCTATTTTGTTTACAGGAAAGGAAAGAGTTATGATCAGGCGAGCTGCTATGCAAGAATGGGAAAAGAATAATCCCCCTGGACACCTTGGGGTGGTTCCAGCAGAGCAAAAGTATCCAGTGGAAGACCCTAACTGGGACTGTAATAATGCACAACATCGGCAAAACATGAAGGATTTGCGAGATATAATAATCGCTGGCATTAAGGAGGCAGTGCCTAAGTCCCAGAATCTTACTAAGGCATTTGAGATTCAGCAGAATAAGGATGAATCCCCTAGTGATTTTCTAGAAAGGCTTAGAGACAGGATGAGAAAATACTCAGGAATGAATCCTGAGGATCCTGTAGCCCAATGTCTCCTTAAGGTGAATTTTATAACTAAGGCATGTCCAGACATACAGAGAAAGCTTCAAAAGATAGAAGGATGGAATATGAAGCCCCTGGAGGAGCTCTTACAAGCAGCTCAGAAGGTATATGTTAAAAGGGAAAATGAGAAAGAAAAGCAGAAGGCTAGGTCAATAGTTTGCACAGTTGATCGTATAGTGAAACAAAGAATGGATAATAGGGAAAGGAAAATAGAAGAGAGGTTGGGCCCTGGAGGGTGGCAGAGAGAAGGAAAATTCCGAGGATATCGATCTAGGCCTCAGTCAGAGAATAGTGAAAAGAGGTGTTTCAGGTGTGGTAAGCTAGGACATATAAAGAAAAATTGCCCAGAGTGGAAGAGAGAGGAGACATTACTAGCTGCTTTAAATTGAGAATAGGGGTGTCAGGGGCTCTTGAAAGTTTGGTCCTACCAGGAGCCCTTGGTAAATATGAAAGTGGGACCTGAAGGGGAGGAGATTGTATTTTTAGTTGATACTGGGGCAGCTCGATCATCGCTGGCTCATAAAGTGTCAGGATTCAAATTAACAAATGATACTCTAAAGATAATGAGGGTAGAGGGGACTGGGATGACAGTACCACTTTTTGAAAACACTGAGTTGAGATTAGGGAATAGGACAATAACAGGGCAATTATTTATGTGCCTAATGCAGGGACTAATTTGCTGGGGAGAGATCTTATGATGAAATTGGGAATACAAATAACAACTTGTCAGGAGGGAATTGTAGTATCAATGAATGTGTTAACTGAGAAAGATGAGAGTGAGATAGATCCCGTGGTCTGGGTAAAAGAAGGGAATGGGGGGGGAGGGGGGTGGGCTGAAAATAACCCCCTTAAAAATAAAGTTGCAGGAAAAATATGAGACCATAAGACAGAAACAATACCCAATTCCTTTTCAGGGATGTACTGGGCTTAAACCTGTGATACAAAGATTACTGAAGGATGGGTTGCTGGAACCATGTATGTTACCTCTCAATACCCCCATTCTGCGAGTAAGGAAACCTGATGGTTCCTATTGATTAGTCCAAGACCTGAGAAAAATTAATGAAATAGTACAAAAATGACATCCAGTGGTTCCAAACCCATATACCTTGATGAATAAAATCCCAAATGAAGATAAATAGTTCAGCGTTATAGATCTAAAGGATGCCCTTTGGTCTTGTCCCCTGGATCTGGAGAGCAGAGATATATTTGCCTTTGAGTGGGAAGATTATGAGAGTGGACGAAAACAACAGTATGGGTGGACGGTTCTGAGAGGTTTACAAAGTCACCAAATCTGTTTGAAAAAGTTTTGGAGCAAATATTAGAATGCTTTCAGCCACCAGGGGGATTATCACTCCTACAATATGTAGATGATCTCTTGTCAGGATCAGAAAACGCTTTAAAAAGCTACCAATGAACTGCTAAACCTTCTAGGGAAACAGGGACTGAGAGTCTCAAAGAATAAACTCAAAGAAGTTAGATATTTGGGACACCTGGTTTCTGAGGGAAAGCGTAGGATCACCCCAGAGAGAATTCAGGGAATTGTTGAACTACCCTTGCCCAGAACAAAGAGGGAATTGAGAAAATTCCTAGGGGTAGTAGGATACTGCAGGCTCTGGATAGAAGCATATGCTCAGAAAACCAAAGGATTATACCTTAAATTATTAGATGAGGAACCCAACATCCTTGAGTGGACTGCTGAGGAAAAGGAGTTGATAGAGCTATTAAAACAGAATCTAATTACAGCCCCAGTCCTAGCTCCCCCTTCATTGAATAAACCTTTCCAGCTCTTTGTTACTGTAGATCAAGGGGCAGCCCTGGGAGCACTAACCCAGAAATGGGGGGACAAGTATCAGCCCGTGGCATATCTATCTAAGCTACTGGATCCAGTATCTCGGGGATGGCCAGAATGTATCCAAGCTGTAGCAGCGACCGCTCTTCGGATAGAAGAGAGCAGAAAATTGACTTTCGGGAGACGCTTGATAGTCACTACCCCACATCAGGTGTAAACTATTTTAACTCAGAAGGCTGGAAGATGGTTAACTGACTCTAGAATTCTGAAATACGAGACAATCTTAATGGAGAAAAATGACTTAGTGCTAACAACTGAATCTTGCCTAAATCCAGCTACATTCTTGTGGAAAGGTGAGGAGAAAAAAGAAAATGTAGAGCATAGTTGCTTGGATTTAATTGAGTATCAGACAGAAGTAAGATCTGACCTGCAAGACACCCCCCTTGAGGAAGGAAAGCTTTTGTTTATCGATGGGTCTTCAAAGGTGGTGCAAGGAAGAAGACACAATATAAATGCTATAGATATGCTGTAGTAGAGGGGGGCAAAAGAGGAGGTGAGAGAGATGGGCCGGCTGCCTAATGATTGGTCAGCACAGACGTGTGAATTATATGCCTTGAACCGAGCACTTCATCTCCTTAAAGGAGAGGAGGGAACCATATATACTGATTCAAGGTATGCATATGGAGTGATACACAGTTTTGGAAAAATTTAGGAGGAATGAGGGTTAATTAACAGTAAAGGAAAGGAATTGGTTCATGGAGAACTAATCAGACAAGTTCTAGAAAATTTACTGCTACCCACTGATATTGCAATAGTGCATGTTAAAGGGCATCAGAAAGGGAATTTGATTATTGCCCAAAGCAACCAAGCAGCAGATAAAGCAGCCCATGAGGCTGCTTTACAATCAACAATTATTATGAATTATCTTGTGCCCGAGGTACCACTTTCTCTCCAAAACAGATATTCAGTGAAAAAGAAAAGGAAACCCTTAGGAACTTAGGGGCCACGGAGTCCGAGGGAAGGTAGACGGGAGAGAAGTATTAAACAAGGCAGTGACAAGAGAAATTTTAATTATCTTGCATCAAGGGAGTCACTGCGGAGTGCAAGCTCTGTGTGATGCTGTGCTGCGGAAATCTGTAAACATAGGGATATATACTCTGGCTAAAAGGTCTGTAGGGGGTATGTAGTATGCCAGAAAGTTAATAATTAAGGCTATTAGAAATCAACCTGAAGGGGGGAGAGAGACAGGAATTCGACCATTCCAAACTATCCAAGTCAATTTTACAGAACTTCACCCCCCCTGGCACTCATCGTCATCAGGAAAAGTAGAAAGATTGAATCAGAAGATAAAGAAACATCTGACTAAGTTGGTCCTAGAGACTCAACTCCCTTGGACCAAGTGCTTGCCTCTAGTACTTCTCTGAATCCGGACAGCACCAAGAAAGATGTGGGGGTTTCTGTGGGGGTTTCTCCATCTGAAATGCTATTTGGGTTACCATATCTAGGAAAGAAAAATGAGATACTACAGTTTGAAACTAAAGATATGTTTCTTAAAAACTATATACTCGGATTGTCTTCCTCACTATCATCTCAGGATCTGAGGACTGTTAGCACAAACACTGCCTCTGGAATTTCCAATTTATCCATTCCAAGCTGGAGACTGGGACCTGATCCAGACCTGGAAGGAGACAAAGCTGCAACCTGATTGGGAAGGGCCATTCCAAGTACTTCTAACAATGGAAACAGCCGTCAAGATGGCCGAGAAAGGTTGGACTCACTGCATTTGAGTAAAACCCTCCCCTAACCCTGAAGTGTGAGAAACTGTTGCCATGGAGGATCCTCTAAAGATAAAAATCAGAAATAAATTGTAAATAAACTAATCTGTAATTTCTCCTCAACAGTATTAGTAAGGAGGTGTTTAGTCTGTGTGTGCGTGTTTTGTAACAGAGTATATCCTATTCTTTATCCTAGTAACTGTTTAGAGATTCAGGTCTTGACAATAATGCGGGGAAAGACCAATAAGTAGCCTTGATTTTGATGATAATCCATTTCAAAGAATACCTTAATCAATTAATTGCTTGGAAAGAGGATGACTTGAAGAAGGGATTGGGAGGATATCCTGTTAAGTTGTGGATAAATGTGACAAGGAAACAAATGCCTCAGACTGTCACATTCGATGCTTGTTGTGTGATAGCCTATGGGAGCCTAAGTGCCCAATGATGACTGAGTAATGAAGATAAATACCTGTGCCCTAAATTAGGTATGAATAGGGGATTCCCTTGTAGCGGATGGAAAAAATGTATGGTGGACAACTGCCTATCGAGGCTGGACATATACACCAGGGATATTTGATGCCTCACAAGTACACACCCTAAAAGATCAGATTAGTATGTTTAAAGGAGTTGTCCAACCAGACTGCCAGGCCTTACAGTGTAATCCAGAAAATAAGTATTAGCAAGGCTGATAGTCTTGTTAACATCATTTTGGCGCTGGAATAGACATACATGGAAAAGACCCAGTAGCCAGATTTCTGAATAGCTGTATGGGATTCACTCCCTGATCATATTCAAAATGTCCAGGATAAGGGAAAGGGAGTGGAAAATCCTCCTAAAAACCCTGCAGTTATAGTAATTGCAGAAATAAAGGATCTCAGACAAACGTTCGAAATTGAGATATGGTACGGAGATGTGAATGCCTGGGTAGAATGGATTAAGTATACTGTCCAGAGTCTCAACCATAGCAACTGCTATGCTTGTGCATCAGGACAGCCTGTAGCTCAGGTAGAACCCCTTCCACTGGAGTGGATCAAGGATTCCCAAGGGATGCAATGCATGATTGCCCTGTACCAGGAGAAAACTGCCTGGGGAAATGAAGCCTGTAAATCACTTTCCCTATTGTTCCCTCCAATACCTGAGATGGATGCCAAAATCCCTCCTGCATTCTCCATGGCCATAGGTAACCATACAGCTTGCCTCTCAAGGCAGGGTGTGAAGGCTACCAGGCCTATAGGGAATTTCTCACTATGCAGTGAAACCTTGAACATTACGGAAGATTTAGCAGGGAACTATTCAGGGCTGGGAATCCCTAGAGCAGATCTCTGGTGGTATTGCAGTGGGAAGATCTTATGGTCCACTCTCCCATCTAATTGGGGATGTACCTGTGCACTTGTTCAACTAGTTATACCGTTCACTCTGGCATTTGAAAACACACACAGAGAAAGAACAAAAGGAGCTTAGGGTCTCATTTGATGATGCAATATATATAGATAGATTCAATCAGAGTGCCCTGAGGTGTCCCTGATGAATTTAAGGCTAGAAATCAAATTGCTGCAGGATTTGAGTCACTGCTCTGGTGGGTGACAATTAACAAAAATGTAGATTGGATAAACTGCATCTATTACAATCAACAGAGATAAACTATACAGGTATAAACTATACAAAGGAGGCAGTAAAGAGAATTGCAGAACAATTGGATGCTACAAGTGGGATGGCTTGGGAAAATAGGATCGCCCTAAATATAATATTAGCTGAAAAAGGGTGTGTGTGTAATGTTAGGCACTCGTTGTTGCACCTTCATCCCTAATAACACAGCCCCAGATGGCACAGTAACTAAAGCACTACAGGGGCTTACTACTCTTGCTGATGAATTGGCAGAAAACTCAGGAATAGATACTTCTGACAGTGGATGGTTGGAGTCCTGGTTTGGCAAATCGAAAGGGATGATTGTGTCCATATTTACGTCCTTGATTGTAGTAGCAGGAGTCTTCGTGGCCATCGGTTGCTGTATTAAACCCTGTGTGAGGGGACTGGTACAGCAATTAATCGAGACTGCACTACTAAAGCAAACAATAATGGAGCCACCACCATCCTTGGATAAAATGATGGTATTTGAAGAAATTGAGAGTGAAGAAAGTGAAGAAGAAGTCTTTAAAATCATACTTTAGAAAAGAAATCAACATTGTAAAAAAAAAAAAAAAAAGGTGGAATTGTGGGAATGGAATGTTGTTTCTGCATTGGATTTTGGAAAGGGCAATTGAGCTAAGGAAGTAGAACATGTTGTGTTTGTATTCTGTAACTTGTCCTTAGAAATAGCTGATGTGAAAGGTAGAAATACCATATACGTATTAGTAACACATTTTAGAAACATAATTACTGAATTATGCG